GTACCTAGCAGTCTTTATTTCAAAATACAGGGTACCTACCAGCAATTTTTTGGATTATTAACCTTTTAAAATTTTGAAAAATTTAAAAGGAGCATTAGCATCACTTATTTTAAATAACTAATGTTATGGAGTAATAGCATCGATTATTTAAAATAATCAAAACTAATACCCATTTTTATTTTTTCGAATTGTTTTTTAATAATATCAATGGCATCGGTTCTTTGAGATATACGATGCTTTAGACTTTTTGCATCGATTAAAAAAAATTTATATTGGTCAAAGCCTAGACGCATGGTTATGGATAATCGTCTCCTGTAATTTGAAGTAATAAATTCAGTACATAATGCCTATGTATTTAACTAATTGCTTTATTTTCAAAGTTCATCGTTGAGGCGTAAATGGTGGAATTGGGGATGGAATCTTGAAATCTTGGGTTCCTTCGACGGTGAAGTGAGTTATGGGTTTGTGTTAGTAATTCCTCATGGCACATTTACTAACCATTTTCCTAAAATGTTCTGTGATCTTCTTTTACTGGGATTTTATTTGTTTAATTTCTAATGTGTTTGATCTAAGAAGTTCTGTGAGCTCCTCTGTTCAGATTCGTTTATTCAGATCCTTGTACTTTAAAAATCCATCATCGGAGTAAAAATCCAAAGAGCAGAAGCTTAATTTATTTAAACAACTTGGGACTCATGCCTGAAAACGTAAAAAATTATTCGGAGATAAAGATTAATTCCAAATCCTCAATCATATCAACCAACATCTCTTCCTCTTCATTGTCCTCCGGAACCGACTCTAGATTCATCATGTCCTCGATTATCTACGTCTAGCAAATAAACAAACTACACGCTCAATAATGACGATGAGTGAGAAATATCTAACGTCAAGGTAAACAATAAGGCAAATCCACAATTCAAAACCATCATGTAACATCATGCAATCAACATATACATCACACATAATTCAACACACAATTTACCTCGCACTTGCCCATTTCCATTCTCATCAAACGTGTAGATTCTACGAGGTTAGTGGATCACCAAGAGCCAGTTCCTATAACTTATTCTAGACTAAGAACCTTTTATTTTCTATAGAGTCATGATTGGTCTCACTGGACGGGCGGGTCATGCTCAACCAACGAAGGAGTCCTCCGTTGAGTGGGTGGAATTTCCAGTGATGGATCACCAGGCAGTTTAAGGATGCTCGTACGTACGTTTTTACCCGGTTAGCCATTTTGGTCCCGGTAGGCTCTACATGGCTTAAACTCTTACTTTCCTAATATTCATGTGTCAGTCCTAGAGATTCTCTTAGGTGGATTTACCTCAGTTACAGTGTTGGATCAACACAACGTAACCTGTATTTACGTTAGTAGATTCTCAGACAAAAAGAGACGGAAGTACTTAGTAAAATCGTGACTATCAGGCGGTAGCAGTATTGACGTACCGCCGTACAGTGGTTAGCATACATCGAACAATAGTCGACTATCGCGATTGTCAACCTTCTAGCAAGTCTGGCATTGTTGCATGGCGTGTGACGGTAGCAATGTTTCGCCTAGCAGTACCGACCTACCATTAGTCGCAGAAGCCCACTGTTTGATCTGTTCATATCGTAAAGACGCTTCCAGCCATAGTTCTTCTCAAACTAGTCATTCAAAAGCAGTGGTAATAACATACTCAAGATCACATAAACGCTTATAGTCCTATAAAGCCTAATTCATGTGTTCTACCCGTCGATTCGGTCATAACCCATAAATTCCCAAATAAACCAATATTATAAGTTTTCATGCAATTCAAACAGCACAACAATTACGAATGTGAATTTCAAACCTAAATGAATACTCTAACTTTAGGGTTACACGTACTCAGCTCAAAACGATGAACGACTAATTACAAGCGAACAAGAGCAGAGAGGGAGCGGGGACGGTCGAATTCCTCTCATTCTTCTTCTTCTTCTTTCGGTTGGGCGCTATTGTCGATCGGCAAAGAGAGATGGTGGGGTGAGTCAGGCGGCATCCGTGTGGTTACACGCACGTAAGATTATTTAAATACCATATGGATTCGTCCGTAATTAATTAATGTACCTCGAGCAAATACACTTTTTGGGCCAACTTACTTCGAATTTTGATCCATTTGCACCGTTGGATTCATCTCACCGAACCCTACATAACGGTATATCCTTCATAATTTCTTTACAAATTTTCTAATTAACCCCAAGTCCGTCTTAATTATTAACTAATTATTTTTAATTAATTAGTTCTTAGAGGTTGGGTTTTGGGGCGTTACACAACATATCGTAAAAGGCAATGGGGTGGTTCATGCGATTGTCCTTATTATTGACTTATATTTTCATTGTGCCTAGAGTTAAGGACCTTAAATTCCTCAATCACTCAGGGCCCAAGATATAATTCGGTCGATTGTGACTTTGTCTTCGTGGTGTTTAAGAAAAGTTTGAATAGTAAAGAAATCAATGTTTGAAATTTGTCTAGAAGAAAGAGAAAAGTTGTGGACCACTGCACATACTCTTTACTTTACTAGGAAAGTAAATTAGTGAGACAATTAACGAAAGTAAGATGATTAATTCGGGATGGAGGGATCGGATCGAAGTACTCCTTACTCACCCACATATTTAGCTTGGATGGTCCTCGGGGCATCTGCATTGGAAGAACTACTAAATGGAGGTCTAGTTCCTACTTCTCTCCTCCACACCCCCGATATTAATAAAAATCCCCCGTTGGCAAGGTACCGCCAAAAAAGGCCCGTGGTTTTCTCCCGATTTGGGTTTCCACGTAAAAATTCCTATGTTTATAGTTTGGTGTATTTTTTAGACTAGTTTATCGTTTTTGCCGGGCCAAAACGATATACCGGTCGATAATTTACACCATCAGCTATTTCTCGTTGCGATGTCTCTGTGGTCGATAGTCCATGTTATTCGGATAGCTTGTTCCCGTAGGTCGGGCGGTTCGTGTGCTCTGCTACGGCGTTGGCCTCAATATCTCGTACTATAGAGTAGGCTATTCAGACTCATTTGGAAGCGACATTATGATGCCAGAGTAAGCGTTAATGTATGACTGAATCGAAAAAAAATCGGAATCAAATGATCTACAGTGACATTACAGTAATGACATACTGCGTGAACATGACTCCACGTGATGTGAAATGTGTTACCCATTGACCACGTACAGCTACATGTTCGCGATTTAAGTTCACATGTCTCCTGCTGAGTAATGTTGGAAGACCCATCTACCACCACAGAGTATATCTCTTGTTGTGCGTGGTGCTGCACAACACGACAGTAAAACCTTTTTTCTTCATTTTTTCTAATATGTTTCCACACATTCATAAAAAAGTTGTACCCAAATTGTTGCCATACATATCCATTTGTTCGCTTCTCAGCAAAAAAGTTTGACCAATTTATCATAAGTGAACTTCAATGTGAGGAACGAAAACTTTTTTATTTACATATATCCGTATTTTACTAAAACAAAAGAGCAAGCTTTTTCGTTTCTTCCCTCTCTTCTTTTTTATCAAACTTTTTTGCTTTACAAACTTTTTTATTTACATTTCTTTTGTTTGTTTGTTTGCTTTTCCTTTTTCGTTTCTTCCCTTTCTTCTTTCTTCTTTTTTGCTTCTTTTTCATTTTCTTTTTCTATTTTGTTACTTCTTTTCCTTTTTTTAGTTTTAAAATGATTTTCAATTTTTCAATTTTGATTTTTTGAATTTTTTTTCATTTTTCTGTTTTTTAATTTCTTTTTTTATTTTTACTTTGAGTTTTTGTAAACTTGTACTCCGTATTATTTAATTGTATTTTATGCTTTTAGTTTAATTATTTTAATTAAAATCAGTGTTAAAACAAGTTTTAATTTATTTTTTTAATTGTGTACGTTATTTATTAAATGTATCAATTTTATATTATTTTTAATTTAATTTTAATGTATCACTTTTAATGAATCACTCTAAGTTTTAATGAAATGTTCAAGTGTTTTAAGTTTAATAATATAATTGTTTGAGGTAAATTTTAATGGTCCGTTTGGTATAAGGAATTGATGGAATTGGAATTTAAATTTCATGGGAATTGAACCCACTAATTCCAATTTATTTTTTGCACTGTCAATTTCAAATCCACAAAACTTTTGTGTGCTACCAGACACCAAAATTGGAATTGAAGTCCTCAATTCCAATTTTAATTCCATAATTTCAATTCCATGTAACAAATGGGGCCTAAATGTTTTTATGTTTTTAATTTAATTATTTAAAATTTTAAATTACACCAAGGTTCAATTGATATTGAACCTTAATGTCATAGCATGACCCGGGGCCGCTCCGGTGCCCCGTTCATAAAATTGACGCTTCCTACCCCCGGTAAACCCCCACCCCGGCCCCGACCCAAACACACCCCCACTCCTTTCAATTGCACCCCACAAGTTGATTTTGATTTTGGAGTCAAAATTTGACTCCTAAGTCAAAATCAACTTGTGGGGTGAAATTGAAAGGGGTGGAGGGGTGTGTTCGGGTTGGGGCCGGGGTGGGGGGTTTACCGGGGGTTAGGGGATATGAACCATTAATTTTACGAACGGGGTACCGGAGTGGCCCCGGGTCATCCTACGACATTAAGGTGCTGTTTGTTTTTTCTGCAGAAAAAGGTCTGCAGTCTGCAGACCACATCTGCACATATCTGCAGAAGAAGAGGTGGACCAAAGGTCTGCAGTCTGCAAGAAGAAGACTGTTTGTTTTTTAACTTCTACAGATTATTTGAATAAACTGAAATTTAAAATAAACAGATTTTTAAAGCAATCAATATTTTTAAACATTCAAATTTAAACAAGAGTTTTACCGCAATGAAATATCAACAAACATCGTCTTCGAGGGTACGTACCATAGGGGCTCCCCGATCCTAAATCGGCAGTCTCCCCCGTCTTTGTTTTATGCGATTTCTTTATTTCGTATGTGTTTATTTTCATCTGTTAACTTCCAATCGTAATTAGGGTTTTCAGATTTAGATAACCTGCTTTTTCCAGTATTATATGCGGAGTTAGGAGATGTTATTTTGTTGGGTGGCATTGAGTGATGAAACCCTAAATAAGTTTCTGGATTTACTTATTTATTTATTTGCTATCTTCTTCAAACTACAAGCATATCGTAATATTTGGGGATTGAATCAATCGATTGAAGTTTTGAATGGTAGATGAATACTTTTGATGAATAATTCAATATCAACAACACTTATTTATTTGCGATTTGATTATGAAATTGTAGGGTCATGGATGAAAATGTGGAGGATAATAATAAGAATCTTGATGGACCTGCAAAAAGCATTCCCCGACGCCGGAAGCGTTATCGTGTGATGAATCGATCTGAATATACCGCCAAGGGAAAAAAAGCTGGCAAATCTGGGGTTGATCTTTGCCATTCCTTTAATTACCATGCATTATATTGCATTCTTGATACTATATATGCATTTAGTGTCTTGTTAATTATGTATTTTTGATTTCAAACGAGGCCAAACTGTGGTGCACTACATTTTTAATATTATACTACACTTTGCTGTCCGGATTTTGTTATGATATTATCTTAACACCTCAAATGTAAAGCATTTTGATGAACTCAACATGCTATCATAACACTCTCCCCCAACATCAAACACAACATGTTTTTGGTTTTAATGTTACTTGATTTCAAGGATATTGTTGGCACTTCTTCCATGTTCAACTACTAAAAAAGTGGGAGTGATTCTGGACACTCCAAAATGCAAAAGTAGATGCCAAATCCGGACGGAGTATGTTTTTCCCTGGCGCAATCAATTTATAGTTATAAGTCAATCAAGATGGTCACACCTTGGGTTTCATAAAAAAAAATATCTCACCAAGACATATAGGTCTCTCTCTGTAGAGTCGTCATTTTTTGATATTTTTTTAAATTTGTGATACTCCTGTACACAGGGAAATTATGGTGATGGTTGTTATAGCAATGTACCTGGAGGAATTTTCCCGGTTCGGCCCACGTCATGTGAATGGAAACCAGCTGAAAAGGTCGCTCAATTTGCTGCCCTGAAACAGGCCGAGAATGGGGTAAATGCAATTTTTGTGTTGTTAGGAACATATATAACCTATATTGTTCTAATAATATAGATGAAGTGATTTGGTTCAAAACAAATAAAAGAAGAACGTGTAGAGTTTTGATTGAACAACCATTGGTATTGAAAATAGAGATGTTCCAAATTAACTACGTAGTATTACTTTGAATGTCAAATGAAAAATGCTAGTTATTTTGTTTCAAACAAGTTCTATGTTAATTAACTATAGAATAACTTTGCTAGTTTTTTTCATCCGTGTGGTTCATTGAGCTCTATTCGAATTTATGTTATTAGGGAATACCTCTGGAGTACAGACAGCTTGTGAAAGTTAACATGCAGGGAGTTGGCGGGATCATGTATTATTTGACATTCACAGCCTGTGATACTACTGATGGTAGGGAAAAAATATTTAAAGCAAAAGTGATGTGTGACGCACGAGACTTAAGTTTACATCTAAAGGAATTCAAGGTTGACAATGACCCCAATAAATCTGGTACACAGTCATTGCTTTTGATTTCTCATGTCTCTCTGTGTCTGTGTTTTAAAATTTGATTGTTGTTGTTATCATCATAGCTGAAAAGATGCGCAACGAGGTGGTTGACGTGCTAGAAAAAATTGCTGCCTTTCGCAAGGAAAATCCTCATTTGTTTCCTGTTCTCCCCCCAAGACCCCCGCCACCTAATCGTAGTGGTCAGATGTATGTATTGTCAAATTCAATATCCGCCAATTTAATACCGCACATGTTTTCAAAATCCAAAAGAAAGAGTGGACTTAGAGAGGGACCGTTGTTTTACTTTGTATGCTTTCAATTTAGTTGTTTCTGTGTTCATTTTCAGAAAAATGCTGGGTGTACACCTTACACCAAAAAAAGGGGTGATTCGTGCCATTGCTTTCCGTATATTCTTGTATGTATATCATTCCTTTAAAATTTAATTGCTTGCTTATCATTTCAAGTGAAACAATCTCGACAACACTATGTATTAAATCCTTTTTTTTTATAATTTGATCTCAATCCATCTTCTAGGAAAGAAATGAGGACTCAAAACCCCACATGGAAGTATGCGAAGGTTAGTGGTGTTACCTCCTTTGATATATACTCAGTTCCTCAATAATCACAAAGATCATAATTTTACACTACTCACATGCTCCCATCTGATCATCTATACGCAAGTAAAAATATGTGGGATCTTTTTAGATTCATCTTGAACAAAAAATTCACAAGATCAATTTTTGAAGCAAAGAAGTACTTTGTTGCTTTCTTGTTGTTTTGTGCATTGGTAAATTTGAAAAAGCAAGTGTTGGGATTATTTTGGAACGGAGAAAGTACTTTGTTACTATCTTGTGGTTTTGTTTTTCTTTGTCATTGGAGAGTTCTGATCTTCGAATTATTGTTACCACCAGGTCAGGAAAGCTGCTTCAAGAAAGTGGAAGTCATTCATTATTAACGTAAGCATTTTTCTAAGAAATATTTGTTTAAAGCTAAACTAGTTTTATAATTGAGGATAATATGCTTTTTTTACTCCTTCCCTCCATAAAGAATGGTGTTTATGGTACTGACAAAGGTTAAGTTTTTCATTATGGTGTTTTACATGCACTTAATTACACTTAGTAGAAATAACAATATAATTACACATAGTAGAAGTCCCTATATAATTATAATCAATGTGCTTTTGAAGCTCAGCACAATTGAAGGACATATAATTATTACTCCCTTTAGTTTGCATTTGGAAGGCTATCTATTTTAACACTTGTGGAAGACAATAGCTGATATGACATTCTTTTTTTGGAGATTTGAGGGAATTATTTTATGCGATATTTTTTTTGGTGCGGATGGAGTGTTTAACCGTAGAGCAACAAAGACGATCATTAATAATCAATAACAACAACCAACCTATTATATTCCCAAAGGTAGAGTCAATTCCAGAAAGAAACCTGGAGTTAGTCCACGGTCATTGATCAGTGGCCATAAGACCATAAGTAATAGTTGGGTGCCAAATGCTAAGGTGGATATGGTGCCTAATAAATGGCATTAAACTTGTGGTGATTGAGGAAAAAAGGTTGGAATGTAGGTGGGAATGAAATAAGCACTAGGATACAATGGCGGTGAATGTGAATGGGCTTTGATATCAAGTAATTTAGGATGCAAAATTGGACCAAGTGAGTGAAGAGGATTGTTGTGGCTATTAGATGAAAATATCGGTTTCATTGTTTTTACAATGTTTCAAAGTTAATGACATTTAGAAGTTAGAACTAAAATGAACTTAGATTTGTAAAATTGAATTGTTCTATAAACCAGGCTTGATACATCTTTCATTCCTAAAATTTCTCCTCAATTACTTTTTTTCCCGCAGTTTAAAGAATTACTGTCTGCCTCCCCACGTAAATCTTCTCTCTTACGAGATTCAAACCACAGACTTTACACTTTTGTACATGTTTCTTATGCTGTGTGAAATCAACCTACGACTTGAAAGCTGGGACGAAGGCACAACATAATTGCAAAAATGAACCGCGTAAAGCAACCATATACCTACCTATTTGGATTCTAATATACTAGGGGCCATAACATGCATGTACCCCATCTTTCTTCAAATTGGGGAGCAGCCATTGGTTTTTTGTTTTCCAATTTGACATAATTTCAGATGTATGGCTGTTGATTGCATAGAAGCATAGGCAGGATTTTTATATTGTTGACTAATTTCAGCCTAGCTAGTAGTTTTTCCTTTTCTGAAATTGGACTGAGGTAGCTGTAACTCTGGAGGAATCACTGCTGATTCAGCTGGGACTAATACACACACACACACACACACACACACACACACATATATATATATGTTCCTCTTATATATATTGATATGTATATATTTGAACTTTCAGGATATGGTCCCTTACTTTCACAAGGCACAACAGGAGTTTAATAGAAAGGCGTATGGATCGTGGGAACTGGTTTGCTCGTTGTCTTCATTGTTTAGAGTGCAATAATTGATTCATTAGATTTTCGTCTTGATGGAAATTTCTGTTGTCGCGCAGGATGGTAAGGTGCCAAACTATGCGCAATCCTCCTGGTAGAGAGCGTATGATCGATGTATGTATGTTACGGAGCATTATGTATGGTTTAGTCTGTTCAGTTTGATGGGAATGAAATGTTTGATTTTGAAAGAAACCAAAGAACCCCCCTCCATCTCTCCCTCATAATCCTGCAACATACTACTCTACTACTATAGCATAGTTGCAGTGTCTAAATATTGGGTTTGTTTTATAACTCTATTTGTTGTTGGAATCACCTCATGAAGCATATCCCACACCCTTTAATGGGCCTGATATGTATTCAAGTGCTTAACTTCATGGTGGGCATCACATCAACCCTCAATTTTTGGGGTGGTAAATGAACCCCAACAAAAAAAAGGCATGGAGCTTTTTGAAAACTAAAATAGACATTTTTTTTTAATTTTGAAACGACAAAAATAGACGATTGATCGAACCAATACTAGAGAGTTATAGCTTTTTCTCTTCAACTTATTCTTAGAGTATTTGATTTTGTTGCTATATTAATGATATTAATGAAAGTATTGTTTTCTAAAAAAAATATTCTAACATAAATAAATTAATAAAAACAATTAAATAAATGTTTATCCTATGCTTCAAATATTGCCATATTATAAATACTTCACCCTCCAAATGAAATTACGGAGTACTATTTTTTTTACATTTGTTTGTCTCGAAATAAGTTTCTCATTTTTTATTAAAAAAAATGAATAAGCGGTTTAAAATTTTTTTCTCCCCCAAACAGAGTTTTCATTTATTTTTAATTTATTAACAATTTTATTAAAATTTTTTAAATCAAATTAGGTCATTAGTATTTTTTAGAAGAAATTTGCTTCTAAAACAAATTCTTCCATAGACATAAGAGCATTGGCAGTGGCGAGGCAAATGCTTGCCACGTCATGCCATATCACCCATTTACCTATTTTGCCATTTGTGGCTTGTGTATTCTTCCATGCAAGGTATGGCTTGGGCGAGCCATTCTTTTCTTCTTGTTTTCTTATTTTTTTTATTTTTTTATTTGTAAAAAAAAGTTTTTTTTTTAAAAAATGAAGTGTATATATTTTTATGAAAAAGAGATAAGTAAAAAAATTTTATAATTAAAATTGTCACGAAAGTGTAAAAATGACAAAAATAATTACTTGCCACTCCACCCACTCGCCACACATTGATTGGACTCTTTTTGATTGGTTAGAATGCTTCACGTCATCATGTGGCATTTAATTTTTGTACTTGCCATTGTCAATGTTCTAAGCTTACTACTATAATTAATGAAATTGTTATAATGTTATTTCTATCAAAAAAATACTACTCCCTACGTCTCTTTTGAATCTTCTTTTTTGACTTTTTACGATTTGCACTGCAACACTTTGACCATTAATATCTTTATTTGTAGATAAAAATGTATAATAAAATTACAATATTTAAAAACTATGTAATCTTTATTTATATATGTAATTAATTGATGCTCCGTATCAAATTTATTATTTATATCCTAAACAACTGACCTTAAAAGTCAAGCCGACAATATTCAAATGAGACGAATGGAATATACAAAAATATTTTAAAACTTACCAAAGTGTGTTCTATATTTTAGCATGTTTGCCAAAAAATAATTTTGACTTTCTAAATATAACAAACAAGCATGAATGGTTGTGCTCTTATTTACTATACTTCTAACTATAAAAAACAATTTTTATATTCTAAAATGTTTTTTCTCATTTGACTTTTCTTGGTCAACGCTTATAAACTTTGACTTCAATAATTTGAAAAAAATATTGTGTTTTGATATAAATGAAATATCCTAAAATGATCTTAGCAATTTGATTAAAAAAAATTCTAATTTCACATTTAAAAAAAGGAGCTCGGGCATAAAATCTCAGACCAATCCTCAATCGTTAGATCATTCTACTTGGCTTATTCCCATCTTCATCGTCTCGTCTGATTCTCCTCCTCCACATATCTCTCCCTATTCATTTCTATTTCCTCAAATCTCTTGATCGCTTTCTCTCGTTTAGTCATGGTGTCTTCATCTGTACTATTCTCCGATGGAGAAACGTTTATTCCTCGTCGGTCGAGGTCTGCCCGATCTGCTCTTTGTGATGTATATCTGCATTTACCTTGTTCCGATCTCCATTCTGAATCGTTGCTTTTGGCATAATGTATGTGTTTCGATGAGCTTCCATTAATAGAATGAGCTTCCATTGTTATATTAGATGTATGTTAATTTGCGTCAAAGCATTTATATGCACAGAGTGACGTCCGACCTATTCACAATTGAAGCGGAATCCATACCATATTCAGTAAAGTTAACTAACTGTTAAGTTAATGGCCTAAAGATGACTTTTAAGTTACTACGGAGTATTTCTTTCTCTTTTTTAATCGTTTTTTCTTCTATTTTTGTCCTAATCAAGCACAAAAAAATTATATTCTACGGAGTATATTTTTTTTCCTCTCACAAATTCCTTAATCTATAAATATTGTGTTCAGGTTTCTTTGCAAACCGTTCTTTACATTATATGCATTATATATACACATTGTCATCGCATTTAGGTCGACCCAATGTGTCATGATCAACCTATATATATATATATATATATATATATATATATATATATATATATATATAGAATATTTAAATCGGTATTGTATTTGCATTTTGGTTACTAAGGCTCCGTTCCGTTCAATTTTTTTTTCTGATCTGATCTAATTTTTTGTAGTTTTGATCAGATCTAGTATGATCTGATTTGATTGAATCTGATTGTATTTTTATTAAAATATCTCATCCTTATAAAATATCAAAACTTTAGAAATTCAAATTAGAAGTAGCAATAAAAATATATTTTAAAAGTAGAAATAAATTGACATTGTCAATGTATTTTAAAAATAATCTTTACGGCGTCTAATAATTAAGGATTACGTTCTCATTTTTCTATTTAAATTGTTTCCAAAGTTTATTTTGTTGCATTTTTAAGAATAATAATAATAATAATAATAATAACAATAATAATAATAAACAATAATAATAATAGTAATTCTTGATGGGATCTAAAGTGGTCTGATCTGATTGGATATTATTTGATTTGATTAGATTTGATCTGATTGGATCTGATCTGATATAATTGGATCTGATCTGATTTGATTCGATTCAGATCTGATCTGGTCTAATTTGATTTGATTTTAATAAGAATAAAAAAATTAAAAAAATAAGTTGAACGGGTCTAAGTTAAAAACACAGAAGTTTGGTTTGGGGTTAGGTTAGGTGCATTGCGAATTTGCAACTGTGACCACCTACTTAAGGACGGTGCTACAAAGCCCACACCACCCACTTTTCAACCATATATATATCTCTACTCATTTTCTACCTACCTTCTAATTTTAATTTTCTTGCCTTTCTACCACATACTCCCCCCGTCCCAAATTATTTGCCACATTTGTATTCTCGAGACAAATCATGAAGTTTTTCAATTTATTTTATTTATATATTAGTAAAGAAATAAAAAATAAAATTTACATATAAAAAAACTACATAAAAAGTTCTTCAAACTAAGAGGTGTCAAGAATATTTTATTTTATTAAATAATCAATAAAAATATCGAAATAAACCAAAGTTCTCGACACTACTAAAAAAACAAATGTTGTAAATATTTGGGGACGGAGGGAGTATTTATTTAGGGGGCATGTTTAGTAGTAAGGGAGTTTTTTTAAGCATTTTCCCCTAAAATACGACTCGAGACAAGCAAAAAATAGATTTCGAGAGAGAGAGAGAGAGAGAGAGAGAGGGAGAGGGAGGAGAGATCTACGTAGAAAGTCCAAAGAAAGTTCCTTGAGGCTTTCCCCAGAAGCAGAGGCAGGCAATTTTGGCAGTTCGTGTTCATTCCACACGGTTTGATTTACACGGCGCGGTTGATGATGATGAATGTGACTGGTAATTTCGTTCCTCTTTTTCTCCCGGCCCGCTGCCTATATATATGTATAATCAGATGGGATGGATGGTTTACTACTACTGGTCTCCTCTATTTCATCCATCTAGTACTTCTGTAAGTGTTCGATTTTATGCCTTGATTTTCGATCCCTGGTTTTATAGATTTTATTTGTATTGATTTATGTTTTAACTGATTGAAACTTATAGCAATTAGGAGAATTAGGGTTCATATTGGTTGCTGAGGAATATGTATGTATATATATAGTACAAAACTGAGGCATATGTTGTTTCCACGATTGAGTGTATTGAATCAGAGTCGAGTCAAATTGTGTGTTGAATGAAAATTTAGCACATTCTCCTAATTATATATTCCACCTTTGAATTTAACAAACAGGACACCTATTTTCAGCTGCCCTAATGCTGCTGTTTGATGAGTGCTTTCCCGGCCCGATTTCTCATCTTTTATGCTGGGTGTTCTTCAATTTGGATCCTAGAAGGAGAAGAAACGGAAACGGATGTTCAATCGGTCTGCTTCCAGACGACATCTTAGTCGATATCCTGAGTAGGCTTCCTGCACCAACCATTTTACAATGCCGCAAGGTGTGTAGGCATTGGAGACGTTTGACTTCCTCCACGTATTTCCTCGCGGTGCAAGCCAAAAGAGCCCCTTCTGTTGTTCTGGTGCAAGGCATCAAACCGGGCCCCCAAAAACTGAAATCTGAGTTTTATGTCTTTGATGCAAATTCAAAAAAGTTGAGAAGCATTCCTATCAAGCCCAGCATCCTTGATGACTGGTGCATTCCTCATCTTCACGGCGCATGTGGCCCGTTACTTCATCTTAAGGGCGTTGAGGATACTGAATGCGATTTGATTTTCGAAAGCTGTGGTGGGATGTTCCTGACCATAGCGATCGATTGTTATCGCGATATTGTCTTCAACCCCATCACGGGAGAACTGCAGGGTGTGAAAAAGGACACCCAAACTTTTGTGTGTGGCTTATACTTTCATGAGTCCACGAATGAGTACAACTTTCTGTGTGTGCGGCGTTCCCTTTCTGCGGACGAGTGTTTTGAGTATTTTTCATACAACCTAGTTTCTCACACTGTTAAGGAAATTGCCCGTAGCCGTTTCTGCTGTTGGAGGACCTCAAATCACTATCCCGTAGCATTTAAGCAGGCTCTCTATATGATAGCATTTCCTCCCAAGGAAGAGGAGGTAAAGTGTGGTGCTGACCATTGCTGCAAGCATGCAATCTTGGTATTCGAGATGGACTCTGAAAGGATGTACACTTTGCCTCACCCAGAATTCGACGAGTGTCCCGAAAGACCGTACGATAACAAGTTCATGTGCTTGTTTGTTCATGATGGGCATTTGGCTCTCTGCCATGTACGCGACCTAGCACATGGGTTATTCGACATATGGATCTTGGAGGATTGCGAAAACTGGCGTTGGGTTCGAAAGTCGAGGTTTGGCCTTCAAAAGCCAAGGGTTAATGGTGTTTTTGATAGGGGAATGATGATAGGGACGGGCTGTTTCATGGTTTCTAGTGTTGGCAAGGACGAGTTGTTTATAGATTGGTTCTCGTGTTTCCTACTTGCTGTCAACCTCAAGCACCAAACTTTCGAAGAAATTAAACTGCCGCGTAAACTGAAGCCGACCATGTTTCGTTGTGGCGTTGCCTGCACCAGCAGTCTGCTCACTCCTCCACCTCAAGTATTGTCATATTCTTGGTCACTGATCGACCCCAATTGTACTACATATGACCCATCCCAAATTAAACGATGAATAAGTTTTGTAAATACATCTGTCTTTTATTCCTACGTGTACTAAGTAAGAATCTGTCTCATTTGATTCCTTTTGCCCCTTCATTACTATTATTATTGTGCAATCATGTTTTTATTGTTTTCCACTTCACCCTTTTCCCTACTAGTATATTTGTTTCTTGGAGTACAACGTAAATTACAGAGTATAGTATTACTCTCTAATTACCTCTCCCCATTTTACTATCCTTGTGTTTCAATTTCAATCGCATGTTTCGGTTTATGATTCTTTTTAATGAAGTTATTTTTTAAATACTGTAATTTATTTAAGAATTTACAGTGAAATTATAAATTAAAATTTATATAGTTAAAAATCACTGCATCAAGTGTTTTACGAAAAATAGAGTGATGCAGCAGAATCGAGTTATGATGCTGAAGTGAGATGTCAAAAATAGACAAAAGTAGAAGGCTTGTCGCGAAGGTAAAGATGACTCCAAATCGTCTTTTCCCGTTAAATATTCATGAGCATGAAAAGGTTACTTGTTTGAGTTCTGTAATGCCAGACAATAACTGGCTATGGCATATGCGTTTTGGGCATTCCCATTTTTCTGGACTAAATTACTTGTCTAGGAAAAAACTTATTTTTGGTTTGACTATAATCTATGTTCTAAGTTGTGTCTGTGAGACTTGTCAACTAGGAAAGAAACATAGAAAATTCATTTCCTGTTAGTAAGTGCTGGAGAGCAAAACAGCCACTAGAGATTGTGCACTCGGATCTATGCAGTGGTTATGTACCGAGTAATAATGCGGTATTCTATTTTCTGACTGAATTTTATTAGAGGCTATGTGTCTTTTGATCTGGTGGTTTTTGGAAACATTTCCACTCTTTCCTCTATTTTGTGAGTTTGGGTGTTAAGAATTATGTGGTAATTGGTTTTGTGGCTGGGTTTTAAAGGGGTTAGGTGTAGAGGGATCCCTTTGTATTGGTTCTTTCGATTTAGTGATTTTTGAAAATTATGTGGTAATCTATTTTGTGACTGGATTTTTAGAGGGGATTTGGTGTAGTGTAGTTCTTTGTAGGGGTTCTTTTGTTCTGGCGGTTTTTGGAATTTTTTCCACCCTTTCCTGTATGCCACTAGGTAATCTAATTTTTTTAAAAAGGTATTTAGATGCTTTGATAGTCACATATTTGTCTATATGGTATTCTTGATTTGTTATTATGGAGTTTGGAGTATCCTTTGTTAAATGACTTCATAACTGAGTCAACAGCCACTACAATGGCATTTTGACTGCCGCTAGCAGCCTAAAGGGAAACTAGCCTGAAGAAGATTGCTTGAAACTTGTCCTTCTTTCACCTACAATAACCTTCAACATTTCAGTAAAAGTCAAGTCCAAATCACAGAAAATTACTCATGGGTGATGCGAGTTTTGTTGAAATAACTCTCAGGTCCCTCTATTTTCAAAAAGGCAGCAGAGGTCCTTACATTTTGTTGTAATAACTAGAAGGTGACATTTCATCCAATATTTCATCTATAAACGTTAATAAATGTATTTTTTCCTATTCTTTTCTAAATGTTTTAAGGTAATAAATCTTAGGTCGCTCCTTTTTTTTATTTCTTTGTTTTTCTTTCATTTTGTTACTATTTTTTAAAGTGTTATTTTAAAATTTCTCCTATAAAATCGTATAAAAATTCAAAATTGTTTATATTATATTAAAACAAATGAAATAAAAAAATTCTAAAAAAAGAAAAAACAAGGTAATGGCAAAATAGGAAAAACGGTATGGAAAAATAGGAAAAAAATACATTTATTAACACTTACGAATGATGTATTGGATGAAATGTCCCCTCTCAGTCATTACAACAAAATGTAAGGACCTCTGCTGCCTTTTTGAAAATAGAGGGACCTGAGAGTTATTTCAATAAAACTCGCGTCACCTGCGAGTAATTTTCTGTCCAAATCATACCATTTTCAATATTTATACGCAAGTGCACGATGCCTCTAGAGAAGCTTTATGGATGTCATTACGATGACGGTTTCATGTTGGCTTAGTTAGGGGGCATATATCAATTGGGGCCAAATGTTTCATGCATTTGGTTCTCTTACCCAAGTCCTTTTGAGGGAACTATTCAGATACAATGAATATTTCTCCAAGCAGCCTTGGACATGACATTTGCCTCTTTTATGCATCATGTCCATGACTTCCAAATGTTCTTTACAAGCTTCTGAACAACCGAACGGTGTCTTACAAACTGTTTTGGTTCAGAGTTCATATGAGGCTTAGATCAAAAGGGGTCGTCCCCAAACTAAAGCCGTTTGAGGGCAAGGAATGATTCTCCCACATTCCTTTCCTAGTTCGCTTTGGATATTCCATTGATTTTGGTGTTAGCCCACCCTAATCATGTGCCTAACTCCACATTCATATCATTATAGAGTTTTTCATCTGTGATGAGACTTTAACATGTAAGAGAATTGGACTTCTAGTTGGATTTTCAATGCAATACACTCGACAACGCTTGGCTTTTGAGATCTTAAATCAGCTTTGAAAAACAAAAACATATTTAAGTTGTCCACTTTGTTTTTTGTGACTGCCCTTTTGCTATGGCAGTTCATAAACTCATTTTTTATTTGGATCATGTTGATATTTCTGGTAATTGCATAGCTGAGATGGAAGATAAGATCATTAAGATGAAACAGGAGAAGTGCAGAAGAGACAGATTGTTCACTTGTGCCATTATGGCTGCTTCTTTTGGAAAAGTAGGAATCAGAATGTGTATAGTAAATGTGGGATGTGCCTAATAATAAGCTTAGCATTGCTCATGTTAACACCCTAAGTAATCCAATCAGTCTGTAGTGGTTTTAGCTTGGTCTTGATTGGCCAGTAGGTTTTGAGGTGGTATGTGTATTCTTGTACACTCTGGGTATATTTTAAAATTTGTGTTCCAAGTTATTTCCAATTAAGTTTTATTTGAAAATTGGTGTAAAATTTAAAATTATTGTACCCTATGTGAATTTTAAAATTATAGCAATTCTTTTACAAATAAGAAAAAAAGCAGATGACTCTATCTCTTCCATCTCTAAATGAATTATACAATTATTATTTGGTCATTTTGATAATTTTTGTTTGTTTACATATGTTTATTGATTATTTATATGTTTATTGATTATTTGATAAAATAAAGTATTTGTTATCATTTTTTGTTAGACAACTTTTAATGTAGTCCCTTAAGTTTTTTATTTGTTTACAGGGTACAAATTTGTTAATAAAATGTTTTTTTATAAAAAAATAGGATGTTGATTGAAGAGTGTATTTTATTGAAGACGGAGACTCGGAGAGTATTGTTTAATGAAATGAGTGATGAAAATTGGTAAAAAATTACTATGTATTAAAAATTTAAAACTTGATAATGTGAATAGTGAACAAATCAAATTAAATGGTTAGCCTCTTTTGCAAGGGTCTTTTAACATTGGTCAAGTACTTAGTTGAAAAGAAGTAAATTGTGCTACAAAGTATAAAGATGGAATTCCTACTTACAGATCTCTCCTTTGGAGTATTTTTGTGTCAACTGCCGAGTTACACTCAAATTAAAATGACACAGTGAATAGTTTATAATAGGGAACCATTTCAGCTCGTGACCTCTTACTATCTCTTCTTTTTTCTTTGCTGCTAAATTATCATGTTTATCATGTGAGGTGGAGCATAGTAGATATGAATTTTCATATTTTTTTATATTAGATTTTATTGTGCGATTGGCGAGAGATAAAAAGAATTCAAATTTCATATCTAAACATATCACAAATCTTTTAAATGAAAAGTTCTAATATTTTTTTAATTTGGGAGATAGAATTTGATATTTCCCTTAACCGTCGACCAACTCCTGCCACCAGATACCCCTGATGTTGCTAAACGCTCACGTTTACCGCGCCGCCAACCACTCCCATTGCTAGTGATCCAAGGGATTATCATGATTTAAAATTGTCTAAACCACTTCATTCTAGATCTCGAGATCCATATCATTTCTCTTAAATTTTAAAATTTACCGAATGAAAATTCAAATATGTTTTTTAAACATTTTGTAAATGGGTAAATCAATCCTTGAGACTCGTATTAGGAACAATATGGTGTATTAGGAAATTGTCAAAGACCTAAATCAATCAAATATTCAAGTTCATGGTTGTGGCCCATGAAAGGTTATTTTTATTCTAATATGCTCTTTACGTGGAGGGATACCTTAGTTTTTTTTAAAACTGGTTGACGTTAGGTTTCGAACTTGTGACCTATTAGTCAACAAGGTTTTGATATCATGTTAAAAAACTAATTCAACAAAAAAACTCAATCTTGTGGTTGTGGCCTAAGAAATGTTATTTATATTCTAACATAAAAATTTCTTAGAATATAAGGGGTAAAAAACTCAATCTTGTGGTTGTGGTTGTGGTTGGGGTATGATGTGATATGTAGAGTATGAAAAAATAAGGGGTAAAAGTGATTTTTTTATAAAGAAGATTGTGGGACATTATTTTTTGAAACGTAAAAAAGAGTTTTTAGGAGAGAGGAAATATTTTATAAGTACTCCGTATAGGATTATATTTTGAACATCTTTGATGCATATGGGAAAGTGGAAAAGGAATAGAAAACAGGTCATGTGGTGGTTCTCGAAAACCACATGGATATAGGATTATCGGCCCTTAAACAAACAAACAAGTCGTAGAATATATAATATTGTCGTCATTAAAGTTAAAATTATTTAAAATTAAAGCTAGGGTTTGATGAGGCTCATCATTATATATGCATGCAGTCGCTCTCAACAGAGAATATGCATCCCTCCTTGCTGCTAATAATTGTAATTAATTATTAATTTCCACTCCAAAACCCATTATTAATTCATATACACTATAAATCTTAATTATTAACCCATTTAGTTGTCCAAAAAAATTTTATATATTAACCCATGCAGCCAGACAAGAGTGGCACGTTGTCACGTTTTGATTGGTTAGAATGTTGGTGCAAGTGGGAAGCACGTACCGCAAATCTATATTAGTGCGGACTTCCAAATTTAATTTTATCCTCCCTATTTTTTCCGAAGGTTCTCAAAGATTATAATTAGTCTTCCTTTTTTATGCTTCATCCGCTCCCAAATTGATTATATTTTTTTGGGTCATGTCTCTCGATAAATTTTATTTGTTTATGTACTTTATCGATTAATTGATAAAATATTCTTGTAATATTTTGTTTCGTAGAACTCTAAACGTAGTTTTTTAACATGTAAATTCATTAATAATTTTTATACCAATTTTTAAATATATTGATTTTAAAAAATACAGACTTTATCTCGTAAATGAGAAATTATAATCTAATTTGGAATAGAAGGAGTATTGGTTATGTTCTAAATTTTTAGAAATATTTTTACCAATATTTGTATGGTGGCAAGGAATATATATAGACAATACATTTAATTAAATTAATTATTGTACTTTCTTCAAAAAAAAATTAATTATTGTACAAATTAAGTTAAACATCACCGATACTATATTACTCCTTACACACACTCACACACATTAAACTTGGTTTTTTAAGGTAGCCATTATGATATTTAATTATAATACTATAATGTTGTCACATGTTTTACTATAATACTAATTGTTATCTAATATTCCGTATAAAATAGATTATATAATTTAATTTTTTAAGGTCAACCCCATTTTTTTATCTCATCGTATCCTCGGGGCCGGCTCTAAAATGGTAATAAAAGTTTAAATCAATAAATCATTTTGAAAGATTATATTTTTATAATCTATATTTAGAAATAGATATGTAAATAATCAAAGTGTCATGTACACTTTAGATCACCATAAATCAAATAAAAAAGAAAGTTATGAGAAGAACACAATAATATACCCCGAGTAGTTTAATCCATGCACAGTAAAATTGAATTATATAATGTACGTGCCTTTGGCGGATGGTAAAGAATATATTACGCAATCCACCAAAGTAAAAATAAATTAATTATGAAGCAATGGATTAAGCATGCAATATATACAATGGAAAAGAATGGTCTTCTTATGCATAATATTCCATCAAACCATTTACATCAGTTTTGTTTTAAAATCGATGTAAATGGGGTAGTTAATTAATTTGACCTTTTTGTAGTAGTGCAGTGAAAAACTTGATTGGAATGAATCAACAAATGAAAATGGGAGCATTGATATCCACACTATGCTTTAAAAATGAATGTAGACGGCGAGAGTATAGATAACATGTTTTATGAAATTTAAATTATGAGAGAAAATTTAATATGATCATTTTATTCCATTTTTTAAGGAAGGATAAGTTTTTTTAGGACAATCAAAAATAAAATGAGCAAGAAATTAAATTGAGACGAAGTAAGTAGTCTTTTCATGTTTTAAGTGATAGTACATGTTCTTTTATTGAAATAATTTTCTGAATTAAATTATTATGCTCCTTCCGTAGTATTTATCTAATTGACAAATTCTGAACCTTACTTAAGTACTTAGCTAGTAAAAACGACTTTCTGTTTTGAAAAACAATTCTGGTTTTGATTTTTGGTAAATTAGGGGGAGTATATTTTATACTAGTTGACTGATTTCCAATTTTACCCTTAAAAATAGAAATAACGTGTAAAGTATGATATGCTGGATAAATTAATAATTTATAGTTATAATGTGATAAATTTGGAACTTGAATTACGGAGTACTGTCCGTGTAAGACTAAAATATCACTGCTCATAGTGCCCACAGTCACTTGATAGATGATAAATCAAGCTATATTTACATATTGATAAATAAAGGATAAAGGGCATCTTTGGAAATTACTCTGGAGATTAGCGTTAGCGTTTTTAGATAAAATTTCAACATTGCAGATTACTTTGAAATGCTAAACGCTGCCCGAGTGCCCGTAGATAATTTTTTTTAAAATGCTAACTTTAATTTTTAAACAGGCTTAAAACTGCACCTAATACTTGAAGATATCCTATACTCTTCTTACACTTTGATAAAAAGTATAGATAAAGCTATAAAAAGGCATTTTGTCCTGTCGACATTTGTTTTTTTCATGGTTATTGCTTGGGTGAAAAACATATGTCGTCAAAGGGAATTTCAATTGTTCCAAGTTTAACCAAACTATCAAGTTTTCTTTTCCTTTTATCTCCTTTAATTTAAATTTAAAAAAATATCATGTGAAAAGAAGTATAGGGTTTCGAGAACTTAATAGGAGTAGAACCCATTCTTCTCTCACACTTCATTTTAGTAAGTATCTTGTTAATTATTTTTGAGGAATTTTTAATCAGAGAGTAAAAATTTAAGAGGAATTATCAACCCAATCAACTCACGTGATCACCAATTTACGGATTTCCTTCTCTACATTTACATGTGTAATAATGTGTGTGCATCATTGTATAATCCTCCCCTACAAATGAGTTAGTTTAATTCTTAATTGAGTGATTTATTTCTCTATTTGTCCATATTAAAAAATCACTTTCATCAAGAGTTTAAGCATATCGCTTTTTTCAATGTAGTACTTAAATTTTTAATTCCCTAAATAGTACTTGAATAATGTCAAGTGGTGAAAAGAATGTCCAATAATGTTGAAGATTTAGTTTGAACAATGTCTAGTAAGAGCAATGTCTAGTAGAGCCAGAACCAATACCACCCCGGAAGGTTCCCATTCAAGGTATCCCTACCCGCCCCCAAAGTTTCCTGTCTGGTTCCAAATTAAAATCGCCAAATCTTGTACTTCTTCGGAACCGAAACTGCATCTAGATCTAAATTAACATTATGGCATTCACAATTTTACATTATTTAGTTTTTTTACATTAATTTTCTTAATTAGATGATAAAATTTATAATACCTCTGTTCTCATAAACACTTCTGACTTTGACTAATGGAAGAAATAAAGAGTGTATATCTGTAGGACTGTAAACGGATAATATACGCGACGGATATGCCATATTCGAATTTGAATCCGATTAAGTTTTGAGATATCCGAATATGTTTCCGTATCCGACAGATATTTATATTTCTATATCCGAATCCGTAACCAATACATAATTCTAATTGTATTTTTTTTCTTTTAATAAACTTCGAATTATTTATAATTATATGCATACTTATGTTATGTGATAATATTTTATTATATTTAAAAGTAGCTCAAAAAACTTGGCAAATTTTTTTTTAAAACATAAATATGAATATTTTATACCAAGCTATGGGTTGTTGACCTAAGTCAATCCAGTTCGACGGGTTGACCCTTGACCCAGTTGCTAGTTGGGTTCGACGTGACGACGTCTGATCCAATTTTTAAAACATTACCGAATATCTGAAATTGTTAATAAAAAATTTAAATGATTATAAAAAGAATGTGAAAGTGAATATCAAAACCCAAAATACTGAACAACTTTGAATACATAAAAAACTACTGTAGTGTTTAAAAAGTAAATACTTAACCAAAACAAATAATTCGAAAAAAATATAAATTAATAATCGACCAAGTACTTTATAGAAGTAATGGTAAGATAATTAGTAAGACACTAAGGTTAGAGACTTAGAGGGTAAAGTATAGTTTTAGATATATGGGCCAAATATATACTCCCTTCGTCCCATAAAACCTTTCTCTGATCCTTTCTTTTTTTATCCGTCTCATAAAACACTTCTCATTTCTATTAAAAAGTCACTTTTACCCCTTACTTTTTCATACCCTAGCTATCACATCATACCTTTTTACTAATAATCTATCCATCAAATCATACTTTTACCCATCACATCAAAGGACATTTTTGGAAATTCAATACCAAAATACACTTCCCTTAAATCTCTCCTAAAAAGCAAAACTCTCATGTTTCATGGGACGGAGGGAGTATGCATTATGAGATGGGTATAGAGGTTTATGAAACTAAAAAAATTTAATTTGGTATAGTACTAGAATAAATGGGTGTTAGGATAAATAGTTATTTAAACAGATGTATATCCGGGTCAGATTTTAAACGGACCATATTTACAATTACTATACCAAATCCTTATCCATTTAGTAACCCGATATCCTTAACCGGATATGGATAATTTCCATTTAAGACGGATGCGAATTATTCCTATTTAAACATATATAGATGCAGACGGCAATCGAATTTTTGGGTATTCATTGAAAGCCTCATGCCCTTATATATCTGTGATTGACTTTCCAATTTTGTTGTTGAAGTGATAGGTAAAAGTAAGATGTGATGAGTAGACTATTAGTGAAAAAGTATGATGACGTGATAAATAGTGTGAGGGAAAATATGGGTAAAACTTAAAAGTAACTTTTAATAGAAAGTTGAAGTTTTTGGAGAAAGAAAGTTTTTTTAAAGAAGAAGTGTTTTAAGAAACCAAGAGACTATATATATATATACATTATTATATGATAGAAACACCAAAAAAAACAAAGGTAACATGCATGTGATACACTTCCATGGTCTTTGAAATAAACTTACAGTTTTGTATATAAAAAAGGATTTCATTATATTTATCTTGTTGAAAACTTCTTAAATTTTATTCTATTATACTAATATGCAATATATATTTGAAATAATTGAAACGCGGTTGTTTTTGCTTTAACTCGATAAAATAAAATTAGACAAATATTCTGAGACGAATGTACTAACTTAGTACACTCCAAAAAAAACTTGAAAAGGAAAATTTAGAAAAATCTAAAAGAAACACAACGACAAATTTTTTAGGTAACAATGACAATTTTTTAAATATGACAAACGTGGAACGTAGTCATTCTCACTATAAAGTGTCACATCTCCATCCATTCAACATTGAAACACAATATTTTAAATTAAAGCCTTTGAATTTCCACATACATACTTCTAGTATAAAATATACAACACCTCCTAGATACACTATAGATTTATATATAACATATTTACCTCTCCCTTGCATATACTCTCTCCTTCTTATCTTCTTCATCAACACCATTGAGCACAAAGAATGTGATGATGTGAAAAATATTAAAACCCCTTCATGCAAAAATTTACCGTACATAATGACAGCCTCCTCTTCCTCGCCGTCGTGGCATTTTCCGGCCACCGCAGTCGACGAGTGCTACCAACGTTACGTTAATTCCAATCCATTTGTTCATACCGGCCTCGTGTTTTCCGATCAAGTCCCCGGAGTCTTTCCGGCCGCTTATGGCAAGACGGCCATCTCGGGTCTTGAAATTCCAAAAACACCCTCGTTGTTCCACTTGCCCCTGCATGGGCAAGATGGTCATTTCACTTATCCTTGGCTGAAAATGGATCAAAGTTGCTTGACAAATTACTACTCTTCTAAAGGTTTTAGTGATTTCTGGCTGAGCAACACCACAGCTCAGCCAGTTGTTAAAGACCAGCAGAAAAGGACCACTGATGATAAGGAGTCCTTTTCTGCAGGGCAGTCTCCGGGGAAACTTTTCCGGGGAGTCAGGCAGAGGCATTGGGGGAAGTGGGTGGCGGAGATACGGCTGCCGCGGAACCGGACGAGGGTGTGGCTGGGGACGTTCGACACCGCGGAAGAGGCGGCACTGGCCTACGACACGGCGGCGTACATGCTGAGAGGGGACTACGCCAACCTCAACTTCCCGGATCTCAAGCACCGGCTCATGGACAACTCCGCCAGCCGCGGTGGGGCCACGGCGGCCCTCATCGAGGCAAAACTTCGGGCGATATCGGAAGGGGCGGCCGCCCGGAATAGTGCCGGTGGGAGAGGCGGTTGTAAGGAAATGAAGAGTGAGAGTCCTCCGCGTTCGCAGAATCTGGTGAAGAGAAGGAGGACAGAAGGGGCGGCGCCGCCGCGGCCGGAAAATGAGGGTGTTGTTCAGCTGAACACTATTCCGTCGTTGGATATGGACACAATCTGGGATGAACTGTTAGTATCTGATTCATGACTTTGATTATATCAAGATGATAGTTAATTAATTACTCCATATAACTTCAGTTATTGAGTATTTATCCACGAATATATATTGTATATTAATTAGATTAAATAATATTTTGAAAATGTTTCACATAATAAATCTAATAAAACTATTTTTGTATCAATATCTAATATTATTTGTATTTAGTTTAAGGTCAAAAAATTTACCAATCTTGACTAAAAAGTCAAAAGTGGATAAATATTCCGTCCAAGAGTATTTTCTTATTATTCTTCCTTTCTTTTTTAAAGTTTCTTTTTCTTTTGAATTCTTCAAACAATAAAAGATTGTGCTGTATTAATTGGGGATTATAATAATCTCTTTGATTTTCTCTCCTTTTCTTTTTCAATTGTTTTTTGCATGGGTCGAAGAAGATAAATGTTACGCATTATTTTAATTTTTTATGGGTTCCAAAGTTAATTTGACCACTTATGGAATGGAAAGTATTTAATGAAATTGTGGGTGTTAGTTTTATGAACTTTATTGCTTCATGCCTCTCAATTTAATTTTTTGGTTTAATTTAATTACTTATTCAAGCTACCAAGTTTAAGAAAAATAAAATCATTTGGTAGAGATTTATGGAACTCGGAGCTAAGAGAATCAAAATGGACCATTTATTATTCTTTCTATTTCACAAAAGTTTTTTGGTTTTGACTTTTAAAAGATTGAACGGAAGTGTAAGATATGATGAGTAGATTTAATAGTGAAAAGTTGGGATGTGATAGGTAGATTAAAAATTAATAAGCATAAAAGTAATTTTTTAATAAAATTATAGAAATGAGAAAAAGTTTTTGGGACGGATGAAAAAAAAAGATTTTGTAAGACGGAGGCATTATTTCTTATACTCCGTAAAAAAACAAGAAGTTTTATTTTGGGACAACTCAAAATATAGAAAATGAAAAGATTGATTTGGGACGGTTCTAGAGTCACTAGATCCAGTTAAGAATGCGGTGACACTTCCTTTTTTTAGATACTAACGGTGTTTCATTTGAAAAATTAATATTTCCTACCTTTTAACCGACTGGATCCAACCCACCCTCAAACCTATCAATTTCATCTCTAAAATTTATTGGACTTTGGAGTTATATTTTTTTTACCTAAATTAAATCAACTAAATGTGAGAAATAAAATTGAAGGGACGACTAGCAAGGGGATCGGGTCAATCCGGAGTGGTGAATTTCCAAGAGAGAGGATCATGAGATTGAACCCATCAGTTTTACAAAAAAAAACTATAAATACCTTAGTTTAAATCGGTGTCATCCGGAACTACTTAAAGTGAGTGGCTCTAGAATAACCCCTCCACAAAGCAAGACAAAGTTTAGCTCCAAATCCAAAAAAAAAAAAAACAGAAAATTGAAAAAGGTAAATTCTTGGGCAAACATGAGGTCCACCTAAAGACTTATGAACATTCTTAATAGTAAAAAGGGTACTTTACTTAAATAGGACTAAAACATAATGACTTTCTCAATATCGAACCATATGTTTTTATTTCCTAATGTAGGACCATTGATCATTATCTATTAGTCATTATTCAACTAAATGTCTAGCATCATTTGCACATTATTCTTCTCACTAGTCATTATTAACTCCTATTTAGGAAATAAATTTAAATCTTACATTGGGAAATGACTTATGTTTTAGTCATATTTAGTGCAAATTTTACTAGTAAAAATCAACATAGAAATGGCACATGTCACTTTTGAGCCAGTTCCAAAACCGCTGGTTTCGGTTTCAACAAAGGGTGGGACCGCAACCGGTACGAATGTCGGTTCCAGTTCCAAAATCTTTTTTTATTTTACTATTTTGTTTTATTAAGTTGATATATTTGTGCAAAAATGATACTCCCTCCGTCCTATAATGATCTTCCCGGTTCGCAAAACGAAGAAAAATCCCAAGTTTTTTCAATCTATTTTATTTAAATATTGGTATAGAAATAATAAATAAAACATACATATTTAAAAACTACACCAAAAGTTCAACAAAACAAGTGGTGACAAGAATATTTTATTTTATCATATAGGCCATGAAAAAACACAAATAAATATAAATTCCCGTGAAGTTGGAATAGTGTTCTGGAAAGATCATTATAGGACGGGGGAGTAAATACTTAAGTAGTTCTTACTTATAAAGTAGCTAATCTAAATGTAGTAAATGTCTAGCAATGTTAAAAAAAAGTTAAGACCGATTCTAGAACCAGAACCGGCAGGATTCTGATACCTTAAACCTCGAGCCAGAACCGTTACTACCCCAGAAGGTCCCCATTCAGATTCTCCCTACCAGCCCCCAAAGGTCACGGTCCGATTTTGAAACCACCAATTCCAATACCGGTTTCGGTACTTGTTCGTAACAGGTTCCGCATCGAGATCAGATCTAAACTAACATAATGGTATTCACAATTTTATACTCCGTACTAATTAATTTTGTATATTGATTTTCTTAATTAGGTGATGAACAGTATTAATACAATGTTATACTCCGTATGATAGAAACACTAACAAAACAAAGGTAATACGGAGTATGTGATACACTTCCATGGACATTGAAATAAACTTACATCTTGTATATAAAAATGATTTTATTGTATTCATCTTATTTAAAATTTTCTGATTCATGACTTTGATTATATCAAAATGATGATTAATTAACATATGTATAACTCCATATTATCTTCTTGTTATTATTCTTCTTTCTTTTTTGAAGTCTATTTCTTTTTCTTTTGAATTCTTCATACAATAAAAGATTGATGGTGTATTAGTTAGCTAGGGATTATAATAATCTCTTTGATCTTCTCCTCTTTTTCTTTTTCAATTATTCTTTTGCTTAAGAGGATAAGTGTTGCACATTTAAAAAAAACTTTTATGGGTATCAAAGTTAATTTGACCACTCAGGGAATGAGAAGTACATAATGAAAGAGGAATTTACCTAAATGACATTAAAACATAATGACTTTCCCTAAATAGCACTACATGTGTTTTTTTCCCAATGTAGCACTTTAAGTCATTATCCATTAGTCATTATTCAAATAAATCTTTGCCATCACTGGTCATTATAGACATTATTAAGTGCTACTCCGTATTTAAGTAATAAAATAATTTAAGTTTTTGTGTCATTTAGTGCAAATATTTCATAATGACATTGTGAGTGTTGGTTTCATGAACTTTATTACTTTTTGCATTTCAAATCTTTTCATTTGCTTATTCAGTAATTAAAGAAAAATAAAATGTTTTGTAGAGATTTATGGAGATGGGAGCTAAGAGAATCAAAATGGTCCATTTATTATATTTTTTTATAAGAAATTAAATAAGAAACTTATTTTGGAACAACCTAGAATAGAAAATTGGAAGATTCATTTTGGATCGAGGGAATATAGTGTTGTTCATATTATCGATTTAAACCCATTTATTTAAAAAATATTTGCACTAAATAGCACTAAAACTTAAGTTATTTCCCTAAATAGCACTTAAATTGTTTTATTCCCTAAATAACACTTAATAATGTCTATAATGTCCTATGATAACGGATATTAAATTGAATAATTAATGAGTAATGCATAATGACTAAAAGTGTTACATAAAGAAGAAAAACACATGTGGTGCTATTTAGGGAAAGTCATTATGTTTTAGTGCTATTTAAGTAAATTTCTCTTTATTTAATATATTGAAACACAAAAAGTGTCATTAAAAATCATAATTATGCTACTTGATCATAAGATGTTTGGTCATGGAGCAAGGACTTTTGACCTTATTAGCATGAAACCAAACAACTTAACATATTATGGCTCAAAACACTTATATTACTTCATTAGTAAAATTATTGGTTCCTACACTTCCTAACCGACCTGCCTCCCGTCCCCCNTCCCCCCTTCCATCTAAGGAAGTGTCGAGTGTCACGACCCATGGGTGTTCAAGATCAAAAGATCCTTACTACATTGCCAATGCATATTACTTAATTTAATTGCACAAAGAATACTATATGGACGTGGTATTATTGGAATCAGATCAGACCAGATTAGATTAGATCATAATTTGTTTTAATCAGATCGAAACTAATTAGATCAGTCGTAGAGAATCCTAGAGATCATGGCCTTAGTACATGAATATTCCTAAATTTAATAATGTGAGAAGATCTACATTTTTACACATGACATCGATTTAGAATCACAAAAGCACAATTCTACTTTATATCATTGGTATGAAAAATGATACTCCCTCCATCCCATTTTATAACATCTATTTCGATTTACGATGTTTGCCTCAAATTTATTTTTAAATCATTTTATATGACAAATGGTATATAGTTAAAAAAATAAAATTACATATTAAAATACCATATCAAAAGATCTACTAAATTAGTAGTGACAATAGTACTTTATTTTATCAAATTATTGTTAACGAAAATAGAGAAACAAAGTGAATGAAGTTTGATAATATGAATAGTGAACAAGCATTATAATTTGGGACGGATGAAGTAATATTTTATTTATATGAAACCATATAATCCGTCATAATTTTTTTGACCAATAGTAATGGGTGGTGATAACCACACCCCACCAAAATACTAAATTCACCTCACATACTAATTTCAACCCGTTCATTTTTAAACTCCTTTTAATCTTGTATTTCACACGGATTGTCATATATTTTAATTTTTTTACTCTGTAACATTTTTTATTTAATTTTCTAATAATACTCTCTAAATACTAGTTCTTAACATGTCTATCATATCATACTTTTTTACTACTCCGTAATAATTTAAACATCTCATTCTACTTTTATCCATCATATCAAAAATATTTTTGAAAAGTCAACACAAAAATATTAATCCTTTAAATTTCCTAAAAATCAAAATAGAAACATTTTTTTTGGACGAAGGAAATAGGATACAGCTATTTGTATCCCAAAGATTTGTACCCCTTTTGCATACTGCAGAGATGCATCAACATTTTGTGTCGATGTAATGCTAATTATTGTTAACGCATCAATACTTTGTGTTACTGTAAATTTTTGTTAACACACCAACACTTTGTGTAAGTATAACTATTAAAATATTGATATATACTTTTGATGTATAAATAGGATACAAATTTTTGGCAACCTCGTATCACAGGAATGTTGGGCCTCGCTTCCAGGTTGTTACATTCTAAATCCCTTTTTCGGCTTCTTTTACTCCGTAATTTAATGGTCGAGCCGTTCAAAACCTTGTCATGCGGGCTTCGATTCCCGAGAAGATGGATCAGACTATTTTTTGGGCCTAACTAAAATTAGATATTACTCCGTAAAAACTTAAGTTGGGCATATT